CTCGACAGCTCTCATTCTATTTAACTGTTGGCAGTTGACAAGTTGTAAAACAATGCCCGCGAGTATGTCTCCAATTCTATACTCGAGCCGGTACGTACTTTTTGCGATTGTTAAAAAAAAAAAAAATACAACTTAACCAAATCAATAACTCTTTACTCATCCAACTTATACTTGGTCATGGTTTACTCATCAAATTAAAAAATGCAACCCAATGATCATTCATCTCTGACACGTTGCACTTCATTTATCATGTGCCACATTCCCTTCGTTGTTAATGTCTCGCACGAAATCTTACGTTACAAGTTACAATCGTTAAAAAATTTACAAACCCAACCAACCAACAATCCACCAAAACCACCATATGTGAAATGCAACTTTCACGGTTCCATAAACTTCTTTAAGCCCCAATAACGTGTCCCCAATTTCAGTTGTAGAAAATCATAACCCCTAATTCACTCGGCTCACCCACGTACAGCTAAATTGTGTATTAAAGCAAGTCGATTGTTGAGAAAGGTGTGAGAAGCTACTACTTAAATTTATATCCTCCCAATTGTACCATCTGCTTGACGTCTCTCTAATGCCAAAATTCTATTTTTTTACAAACGTGTCCAATTATTTCAGGGACGATATATCATAAAACTCCAGCTAAATTGATGAATGAAGAACAACACGAACACAATCCAAAAGGTATTCCAGTCGTACACTATTCGTCGAAGTATGATGACATTTTCTTGCTCAGATAGTTGGTCACGGGCCTGCAAAAATGAAAGATTGGAATTAGAGAAATATCGAACAAATGGTACAATTAGGAGATATGATATCATAAGTAATAGCCCTCGCATCATTCTCAACAAACATCTTTTTCTCATTATACTATTTAGCTACACAAGGTGAGTCGAGATAATTGGAACTAGAGCCTTTTTGTGCTAAAATTGAGGACGTTTTATTGGGGTTTAAAGAAGTTTATGGATTGTGGAAATCACATTTTCACATATGGTGATTTTGATGAGTTGATGATTTGGACGAGTTGTAATTTTTTAATGATTATAACTTGTCAAATGAGATTCTCGTACAATATATTAGCAATAAATAAAACGAAATATGACGGATGATGGACGGAGTGCAACATTTCAAATATGAGTAACCATTGTAAACGTTTTGAAAATTGATGAGTAAACTGTGATCAAATAAAAATTGGATGAGTAATGAAATATTTGTTTGGCTAAGTTGTAATTTTTAAACGATTGTAATTTGTCATGTGAGATTTCTGTTAGTCACGTCAGCGAATAAGAAGCAGATTTTAGAGGGTGATGTATGGAGTGTAAACGGAAAAAAGTTAAGTGAGCACTGTAAAATACTTTAAAGTTTTGTGAGTAAGCCGTGTCGTGATATGAGTTGGGTGATTTTTTGAAACATTTAACTATATATTTTTGCTAAATAAAAAAACTAATTAAACACTGCCAAATTTTGACCGTTCTCCCACTGTTATTCCCGCTCATTTTTTGTAAATTGTTCAAATAAAAACTCCTCCATTAAGCGCGGGCCACTCACGACTTATCTGTACGGTTCCACGCCTTCAGTTTCATTGAAGTCGCATTTTTTGTTTTTGCGGTTTCACATTCACGCACTCAAGTCAACTGCAATTTGACGTAGCTGCACACCCGTCACCCGTGCTTCGTTGGTTATACTCTTCCAAGATCAATTTTGATATTTTAAGCGTGCACAAAATACGAACACAGCCGTCGTTCTCACTCCTCCTCACCGCTCCACCTATTCTTCACTCATTACTCTCTCTATACTGCAACTCTTCTTTGTCTTAAAGAAGAAGAAACGAAGCTTTTGCCTCTTTTCTCTCATCTTCACATAATAACTGTGCGCGCGTATAACTTTTCTTCTGAAAGCTTCTTTGATAATGGTATTGTGCTGAAAAAGCTTCAAAAACAATTTAAAATCGATTAATGTTCTTCACTTTTTGCGATTCGCACCATGTGATCACTGACACATTCATTGTTTTCTCTCTCCATATATAGATGTACATATAAACTGCATTGACAAAAATATATCGGTGGAGTGATTTTTGTATTAATTTGAGCAATGGCGGCCTCATCTTCGAGAGGGAGGAGTAGCTCGCCGTTTCACCACAGGAAACCGTCGAGTCCATACTCATCTACGTCATCTTCATCGTCTCTGATGAACGGCCGCCTCATGCCGCGCTCCTGCTCCTCCTCAGCCGCTTCGTTTTACGGAGGTGGTGGTGGATATGGATCGAGATCCATGACTCCCAGCAGGAGTAGTGCCGACCCATCGTACTCTCGGGGTTACAACAATCGTACACCTGTCAGTTATCCTTCAATGGACGAGGCGCTGATTGGCGAGCCACTGGAGACTACATCGAGATCGGGAGATAGCATTTCAGTGACAATTAGATTTAGACCGATGAGGTGAATCAATTGAATGCTAGATCTGAGTGGATTGATTATAGATCTATTGGCTTTTGAATTCGAGAAATTTTGAGCTTGGGTTGTGCGTTTATAGGCGATACCAGAAATAATTGGAAATCTATTTTTTTTTTCTGGCAGTGAAAGGGAGTATCAGAGAGGTGATGAGATTGCTTGGTATGCTGATGGCGATAAACTTGTTAGGAATGAGTACAACCCCATGACTGCTTATGCCTACGGTACAATCCTTTATGCTCTTCTTGTTAATTTTCTGTTTAAATATGAACTTTGAAATTGCAGTTTTAAAATCGATAAACTAGAATCAGTGGTTTAGCACTGGATAGCGTATGAAACATTGTCATTGTGAATTGTTGTGTCAAATATTTTATTGTTGCTCTTTATCAGTCTATTGCGTTTAATCAGGATATTGTACATTCAGTCAATATACTTTCACACGTGACAGATAAAGTCTTTGGACCCAATACCAATACTCAAGAAGTGTATGAAGTAGCTGGTCGACCGGTAGTGAAGGCTGCAATGGAGGGTGTAAATGGTATGCCTACTAGCTTTAGCTTTTAATAACTTTCATGAAATAAACTTCCCTTTCTGTTTGAGACTACGAAGAAATGATGTCAAAATTTATGCCAACGCTACATATTTTATGGTAAAAACCTTCATGTTAGTCATCGTCAAGTGCTAAACTAGAAGTGGTCACCTTTGAAGTAAATGTTATTTGCTGTAATGAGATTCAATGAATAATTGATATAATCAAATTTTTTGTAAATTTTTGCTAACTAACATTGGCTGATGGCTTGGTTAATAATGCAGGAACGGTATTTGCTTATGGTGTTACAAGTAGTGGAAAGACACACACCATGCACGTAAGATAACTCCTTCATTGCTCAATACCTTTGTTCTATTTCTGCCAGATTTCGATGCTTTGAAGGCTTTGGAAACTCTTATTTGTAGATTGTGTATCAAGTTGGAAGTTGCCGGGAAATTGAGTACACTCACAAGAGTTCTAGTCGTATGAGTATTTTATTACAATACAAAATATAGTTTTATTTATTTATTTATCATATGTCCACATTTCGATGTTTTGTAATTATAAAATGTCATGGCATTCAAAACTAAAGTTTCCAAAATCTATTATATTTTGTTGTGCCCTTGAGTGAAATATTCGTGATTGCAATTATTATATGACTTCAGTTACTCTATCTGTATTCTTTTTATGTTGCCCGTTTGTTTTGTACTCTTGTCTTAGGACTTCAGATTTAAATTAAAACTTTTTGTTATGCACGACAACATTATGTGCTGTTATTTCTTGGCTTTCTATGTGTGTTGTCAGGGAGATCAAACTTCACCAGGAATTATACCATTGGCTATAAAAGATGTCTTCAGCATTATTCAAGATGTAAGTTTGTATTTTCCTGCCGGTTGCATCTGTATTCATCCATGCGATCTGTGTGCACGCTTATTTGTGTTTGCATGTATTTATGAAAATAATAATTTGTCATTGATCTATGGATAACTATTGGTTTCCCTTCAGACTCCTGGAAGTGAATTCTTACTTCGCGTGTCATATCTTGAAATCTACAATGAGGTTAGTACAAGTGTCACCATATAAATGATATATTAGCATATCATTCGAGTCAGCTTAGGAATTTCTCTCTTGCCCCTCATTCATGGTTTATATAAGCAGTTTATGCATCATTCTAGTAAATAGTATAAAAACTCTAAAAATCATGTATTCCAGATCATCATTCACTTTAAAGTTCTCTGATGCATGTTTCTCTTAAATATATGCTGCCAGGTGATTAATGATTTGCTGGACCCAACCGGTCAAAATTTGCGTGTGAGAGAAGATGCCCAGGTTGTTTTCTATACGAAGCTGTCTTTTCTACTGTTTCCCTGTTTTTACACATTTTGACTATTTCCAGCATTTCTATCACTTGACACTTTTTTTTAGGTCACTCCTTGACCAATTATCTCTTGATGACTACATTTTGTTGATATAATATCGGTGCATTTTGTCTTAGCGTAAATCTTCGTACCAACAATTACATGCGCACAATACATTTTAAACTCTATTTTGTTTCCTAGTGATACTTATCTAACTTGCCAAAGCAAGCATGCTAGTTTCAAATTCTAAACTTTAGATTTTGTGCTCTAAATGTTCACCACCTTATTTATCGGATTGATTCTTTCCTCTATAAGTGTTCAATCTCTAAACCTTTCCATTTTCTGTTGCAAATATGAATGACCAGCTTTTATTCTGATATCCGTCTGGTTTCTTTACGTTGCAACTTGTGCATAGGGTACTTACGTTGAGGGTATAAAAGAAGAAGTTGTCTTGTCCCCTGGACATGCACTTTCATTCATTGCTGCTGGAGAAGGTGCAATTTGTTTTTCTTCCATTTCTATTTTATGTGCACAGTTCCATTTACTTTGATATATTGAAGTAGTTTGTTAAGTTTGCATTATGATTTTTATATGTAATCTGATGGCAGAGCATCGGCATGTTGGTTCCAATAATTTCAATTTATTTAGCAGCCGGAGCCATACAATATTCACATTGGTATGGAGTGCTACAATTTGTTCATTACTTGGTTTAGTTCTATGGAACCTTGGTTTATCTGAACTTAATTTTTACATCATATCTTCTTCATTTAACCTTCATTATGTTTTCCTTTCTCTTTCGAGATTATTTTCCACAAATGTAACAAGTTTTTTATAAAAAGTAAATTGAGATGTTGCTTACCTGTGTTTTCGAGGTAAATCTATGATAATATTCTTTTTTGCCTGCAAGCACAGGACTAGTGGGTTATTAATGTTCAATTTGCACGATAATTAGTTATTCTTAATTGATTTTTGAATAAATGTCTACGAAATTTCATATTTTATATAATACAAATTTGAATGTCATTTATTTGATTAATAGACAATATGAAGAAAAACTAGTGGCTTTCCCACATCCAGTTTGTACAAAAATGTAATAAATGCCCAGCTGCCACTATTTATGTGACTTAACACCTTGTTAGAAACACAAGGAAATCTTGCTCTGATAAGGTCCCAATAGGTCCCAATCAATGCTTAATAGTAACTGCAGTAAAAAATTCTCTTTGGGTGAGAATGAACCACAATGTTTTGAACTGAATATCTGCTGCCTTTGTATTCAATCTGATAAAGTTTAAATACACAAAGACTTAAACAACTTTTCCTAAACTTGAGACCATGATTTAACATAAACAACTACGTGCAAAATAGTAACTATCAATTAAACACCTGCTTCCTATTCTTCAGCATTCATGTAGACGTTACCCAGAAATGGACCAATTGCTCAACCTCCGTCATTATCGTCTTTGTTGGTACGAGAAAATCCATCTCGTTCGATGTTGTTGTGGTGGCTAGGGGATTCTTGTTGGAGAGCATAACTTCCAAAAGTCGACTGGTGGTCTCCTCTAACTGGTGCAGCTTATCAGCCACACCACGTTCCATCTGTTGCATCCCATCTCGAACTTTGTCGAGTCCAACCTCTAAAACCTCAATCCTTTCTTTGTTGGATGCCATGGTAGCCCAGCTTTGATACCAATGATAAGGTCCCAATCAAAGCTCAATAGTAACTGCAGTAAAAATTATTTTTGGGTGATAATGAACCACAATGTTTTGAATTTCTTATCTGCTGCCTTTGTATTCAATCTGATAAAGTTTAAATACACACAGACTTAACAATTTTTCCTAAACTAAGACCATAATTTAACAAAAACAACTACGTGCAAAATAATACCTACCAATTAAACACCTACTTCCTATTCTTTAGAATTCATGTAGACTCCACCCAGCAATGGACCAAGTCTTCCAATAATAATTCAACAGCCTCAAAATCCACTTCTCAATCCACGTACTTATGATTCTTGCGAGAAATACATTGGGATCTTCGTCGTGGTCTATCATGCTCCAGCCTCGTCCTCCCAAAGTATGTATTGAGACACTACTTGAAAATAGTTTGAAGACAGCTAATAATCTGGTTCTAATAGTTTCTTTCAGTACGTGAACTGGAGTGGAGTTGTGAGACACTAAATTAAGTTGGAAGCCTATAATCTCATTTACTTATTATGTATTTTCTATTGAGTGTATTTCTTCATGCCCATATTCATGTTTCTAAATTTCTAACATTCTCACCCTTTTGATGGTAATACACAGGCATCCACACTTTTGCTTTCTATTTACTTCTCTCCTGTACTTGAAATTCCTTGTTCTTTCACCTTGTATCCATCCCTAAAGTCATTTGTTCACATTGGCCGCAGATGATTGAAAGTAGCGCTCATGATGACGATTATGATGGAGTGATATTCTCACAGCTGGTATGTATATTCATTTGATATTAAACACTAAAATATTTGGTTTTATTAATTGTTTAAGATGTGTGTACTTTCTGTCGTATTATAGAATCTAAGATTTTGTTCATCATGTTGATGTAGAACTTAATTGATTTAGCGGGATCTGAGAGCTCAAAAACCGAAACAACCGGTTTAAGGAGAAAAGAAGGATCGTACATTAATAAAAGTCTTCTAACGCTTGGAACTGTGAGTTTATTTACTTCTTTCTCATTATTAGAACATTACTTTTATTGTTGCTTTATTAATATCTTTCTTTTTGTTCAATTGCCATGTGGCCCATGTCACATTCTACATTTCTCTCATTTGTTTTGATGTTGTATGTAATGTCTAGGTGATTGGAAAACTAAGTGAAGGAAAGGCATCTCATGTTCCTTATCGAGATTCAAAGCTAACTCGCCTTCTACAATCTTCTCTAAGTGGGCATGGACATGTTTCCGTAAGAGAAACCTTTAACTTTGTAGCACAAGTTTTTGTTTCAATAATTTATGCCACCATGTGGTGGTTCTTACGTTGTAAGAAAAAAGTTTTGCTATTCGACGTGCACATCCTCGTACTTACTGCCTGATTGTTTCTTTTTGTGCATTGTGTCTGTCAAGATTTAGCATTGTTCTGAATCCTAAGATAATAAAATTTAGGTTGAAAATATTTCAACTCACTTTTTGTTATTTCTTTCCCCACTAGCTTATATGTACGGTTACTCCGGCTTCGAGCAATATGGAGGAAACACACAATACATTAAAATTTGCAAGTAGGGCAAAACGTGTTGAAATATATGCCTCACGTAATAAGGTGAGTGACCAAACTGTAAGCTGTGGAATGTGAGTTACATTTTATATTGACGAACTTTTAACAGTATAGTTTTCTTTTTCTGTCAGATAATTGATGAAAAATCATTGATCAAGAAATATCAGAAGGAAATATCTTTTCTTAAGCAAGAACTTGATGAACTTAAGAAGGGAATGCTTGCTGGCGTCAGTCATGAGGAAATTTTGACCCTAAAACAGAAGGTATACTTGACTCCAATTAGTTTCTGAATGTCGGAAATTGAATGGTGTGAGAGAGACCAAAAATCTTAATGTTAACTGTTTGTTCTTCTGAGAGTTGACATACTTTGTTGTGGAATTGTTTAGATAATTTGGCCTGTCTTTGACATCTATGATCATTGCCATATAGTTGGAAGAAGGGCAAGTGAAAATGCAATCAAGATTGGAGGAAGAAGAGGAAGCCAAGGCTGCTCTAATGAGCAGAATCCAGAGGTTAACAAAGTTAATACTTGTTTCCTCGAAAAATACAGTACCGGGATATTTGGGAGACATCTCCTCTCACCAAAGGAGCCATTCTGCTACTGAGGATGATGTGGGTTGCTTGCTCTAATTTACTTATTTTACAAATCACGTTTGATCATTTTTATTCCCTCTTACCTTTACGTGTAAATTGTTCTCTATATGTATTAAGCCGTTATATATTCAGGAAAAATAAAATCTGGTTTATAAATTTAATTTTTAGATTGAGTTGGAAGGCTATAAGTTTTTCATATTCTTTGTCGACTACGATGGGAATAATTAACTTCCGTCATGACTTTGTCTTTTGCTAATTTCCTTATCGACAGTCATTTGTTGATTACTTTGATTATTTCTACCAAGTTTTTGCATTTCAATCCACACCAATAAAACAAAGTTTAGTAACTTTCGGTTTACATCTAGTAGACTAATAATTCTTGTGTTGTTTTACAATTTTATTCTCTTCCCGTTGTCAATCAGAAGTTGGATGTTCCACGAGAGAGTAATTTGCTCATTGATGGCGAGAATCAGAAGGACTCCCCACCTTCTGCTTTGTCTATGTCATCAGATGCTTATGCTTCAATACACAGAAGAGCATCTAGCAATTGGAATGAGAATTTATCACAGGCTGGCAGTACAATAACTGAGACAACTCAAGTGGGTGAACTTATTAGTGGTTCTTGCTGCACGTCAAAAATGCCTATTGTATGTTATACCTTCGCTTCAAAATTTTAATGCTTTTGTTTTTTTGCGTCTCTTAAATGTTAGCTTGACTTATTTTGAGCAATATTATCATCTGAAACGGAAATGTGTTGAAGCAATTACAATATTGATTCACTAGTTTTGTAAATTGAAATTTTAAATGCTTTCTATGTCTACAACAAATTAATTTTGTAATGACTGCTTTGCTATAGTTCTTTTATGCTTTTATCTTGTTATTTAGGACGGGATGTCAATGTCAGATCAGAATGACCTCCTTGTTGAGCAAGTGAAAATGCTTGCTGGAGAGATTGCACTCAGCACTAGTACCCTGAAACGTTTGATAGAGCAGTCTATAAATGATCCTGAAAGCTCTAAAACTCAGGTATCCTTGTATTTTCTTTCAAAAAAATATATCGTTAAATTTACTCTAGTCAATTCCTTTTTTTGCCACAAATTTTTGCACTGCGAACTATTGTACAACTCAACAATCTATGCTATTCTAGTATTAGCTTCCTGCTTTTCCAGTATTTTGTTTTCATTACATACCTATTTAACACTTCAACTTCTTAATCTACAATTTTCCTCTTTTCAATTTCATTTAAAATTTAGAACCTTAAAATTAAAGGGGCTAAGCATGAAATACAAGCTACCCTATCATTTTAAACTTCAAGAAAAGTATGACTCAACTAGCTGAATTCTATTTATACTTGCTTTATGTTGTTTAGGTATATCTTGAATTTGACTGGCATTGTTTAAAATAAGAGGGTTTTTTTAATTCTTGCTAGTCCGAAATTTTGAGGTCACATTATTATTTCTTTCTTGCCTTGTATCTGTTGGAATAATTGCTCCCCATCGATTTTGAACTCAACACGAGCATGTGTTTGATGCACAGATTCAGAACTTGGAGCTTGAAATCGAAGAAAAGAGAAAGCAGATGAGAGTCTTGGAACAGCGCATTGTCGAGAATGGTGAAGCATCGGTTGGTAATGCATCTATGGATGAAATGCAGCAGGTCATCTTATTCATTTGTAAATGAATTAGGGGCGGCAATTTTGCCATAGTGCTACAGGATAAAGGCTTAATATCGTGATGTTGGTTTTATTTTTTGCAACAGACAGTCATGAAACTGATGGCACAGTGTAGTGAGAAAGGTTTTGAGTTAGAGGTCACTTCTTGATCTTGCTTGATATTGCAAATTTATCTACTGTGATTGCCACTTTTTACTTGCTGAAAGAATTAAATTGTTATATAATTAAGCATTTTGAGTTTGAAATGCAGATTAAATCAGCGGACAACCGTATACTCCAGGAACAGCTGCAGAATAAGGTCAAACAAGAAAATTTGATGTTTTGATAAAAGCTATTGCCATGTGAACTGTTGCCTACCTTTTTGTTGAAGCCATTTTTATGCTTCTGGTCGTTTGCCTGTCCTTATTAAGTTGGTTTTTATTTTGGTATTATCAGTTTGCTGAAAACAAGGAACTGCAAGAGAAAATTATTCATCTGGAGCAGCGACTTGCTTCAGTTTCTGTTGACAAATTATCATACTCTTCTGAACAGCGTGCTTCCAATGAATGTGTCGACGAGTTGAGAAAAAAAATGCAGTTTCAGGTAATTGCATTTTAGCTCATGTTCGGGCTCCATTAAAAATAGGTTTCGAGGAAAAAAATTATCTTGGAATAGTATTTTTGGGAGAATGTTTAGTTAAAGAATAAGGAAAAAATTTAAACTTATGCGTAAGATTATTTTATTACATAATGTGAGGTTGAAAATAAGAAAGAGAAAAACGTATTTCCATAAAAATGGAGCCCAAATGGGGGCTTAATTTCTAGATATAAGTTAACTAGATGACAATGTAATCAATTGTTTAGGTTTTTCCAATTTTAGCCTACCAAGAAAAATTTCTCCTTTCAGATTTGAAATTTCTAACTTATATATATTTTTTCCGTTTTATCTTTTCATCCTGATACTCCCATTTACATGTTGTGCAAGGACGAAAAATGGGAGTATATAAAACGGATATAGTGATTGGTATTGCTACATTTTTTTTAAACTTACCCAGTTTGTTATTCTGCCAAAACGCTGTTCCCCAGATAGAAATAAAAGCTTGTGTTCTTTCACCTATTTAATTTTGATAGATGTCTCTATTTTGAGCAGGAAATTGAGAATGAGAAACTAAAGCTAGAACACGTTCATACCGTAGAGGAAAATAGTGGATTACGTGTACAGAATCAGAAATTGTCTGAAGAAGCTTCTTATGCTAAGGAACTAGCTTCTGCTGCTGCAGTTGAGCTGAAAAATTTAGCTAGTGAAGTAACCAAGCTTTCAGTACAGAATGCAAAACTAGAAAAAGAATTACAGGCTTCTCATGAGTTGAAGTCTAGAAGTTCCAGTTTACAAACTGGTAATACTGGAAACCGCAAATACCACGATGGCCAAAGGACTGGTCGCAGAGGTCGGCTTACTCGAGTGAATGATGGTTCTGGAATGGTCCATGATGACTTTGACTCATGGAGCCTTGATCCTGATGATCTAAAGATGGAGTTACAAGCCAGGAAACAAAGGGAGTCAGCCCTAGAAGCTGCCTTGGCTGAGAAGGAAATTTTGGAAGACGACTACAGGAAAAAGTTTGAAGAGGCAAAAGAGAGGGAGGCGGCTCTGGAAAATGATTTGGCAAACATGTGGGTGCTTGTTGCTCAGCTAAAGAAAGAGCGAAGTGTTGTGCAAGAATCAAAGATTAGTGATGGACAGAATGATGATACCGATCAAAACAGTGATTTAAGAATGGATAACGTTGACTACAAGGATCCTATCCTTAAAGATACACAAGATCAAGATCGTACAACACAAGCTTCTGACGTTTCTAAAGAAGAACCACTTGTTCTACGCCTGAAGGTAAAATTCTCTCCTTTAAAATTGCATTTTCATGTTTATGCATGTACTTTGACTCGCCGTTCACCTATGTTTGTGTTCATTTTAAGACTTTCTGGGTTCTTTGTTGCTCTATCAACTTGAGGCCATTTTTTCTAGCACCACTATTAAGTCTTAAATCTCAATTATCGAGTGCCTGTTTGATGGTATCAGATTTTACTAAATTAAGTACGTAGATAGTACTGTCTCCTTTGCCTGTTTGCAATAAACTAAGCAAAGGAGAAATATAAGCATTTTTAGTATTTTTGAGCAATGGCTTTGTCTGCAAAAACAATCAAATGGATTCAAATAAATTTGAGGAACACATCAATAAGTTAGACCCATACTAAGTTGTTTCCCGTCATATACTCAAGAAATCTATTTGACAGGAATTAACCTCTCTTATCTTATGTGCCTAGAGCAATTCATCATTATGTATGTATCTCTCATCGGCTTATTGTACATTATAACAACATTATGGTTTTATTGTTTTCCTTATTAACTACTTCAGGCTAGAATGCAAGAAATGAAGGAGAAAGAACTTAAGCACAATGGGAATGTAGATGCAAATTCTCATGTCTGTAAAGTATGTTTTGAGTCGGCCACAGCTGCAATGCTACTTCCCTGTCGTCATTTTTGCTGTAAGTCATTTTCCTGATGCTAACTTTATGATCGTCAGTGCAGCAACTCTAACATTGGTTTCTACCTTGGCAGTATGTAAATCTTGTTCGCTTGCCTGTTCTGAATGTCCTATTTGCCGCACAAACATTGCAGATAGGATTTTTGCCTTTACTTGACTTTGCACTTCTTACCCTCGAAAAAGGTAAGGACTGTCCCCTTCCACCCCCCTCCCCCCACCCCACCGCTCCCCAAAAAAAAAACAAAAAAATAAAAAATTCTATTACTGGTTCGTTGCTTTTAGCAACGTACAATATGGGACCCCATGCATTTTTTCCCTCCGATCATACTGCATGAACATCAAGATTGACATAAAATTTTTCAGTGTCATGTGATATTCCATAATTGGATAGTGCAAAACACGGTCAACTTTTCCATTCAATTATCTTTTGTCACGTGTAATTATGTCAAGCTTTTTATCAAATTTTTTTGACAAAGTGGCTTTATCCATTTCCCTTACCCAGCATGTGAAATGTTAATATAATGCCACGTGGCATTCTATAGTTGGACAGTTTAAAGCACGATTTGCTTTTTTATTCAATCACATATTACCACGTACAATTATGTCAAACTTTTGTCCAATCTCCTGACAAAGTAGGTTTATCCTTTTCCCCAACATGTGAATAATAGCCGTTTATGTCAAATCTCCTGATATTCTGCTTTATGTCATCTGTGTAACCACAATTATTTGAACTACTTGTTTGAGTCACATTAAAATTTTCATTTTCATTTTCATTTTCATTCTTTTATTCGTTTTCAATTACACGTTCTTTAATAAAATAATATTTTTTATCACATAAATAACTTTTCCTTATTTTTCAATCACACATTTTCCATCAATCTATTATTTCAAAATACATTCTTCCAAAATAATGTGGCTCAAACACATTAATATATGATTAAAATCAATTTTAACCCTTTGACAACAATTATTTCAGAATTCTTTAATTCACATACTTATTTTTAACTTTATATTTACATAATAAAATATTTTGCATTTACACCCAAAATTTTTCATATTTTTTAACCCGAAATTCTTTAAAAAAATCACTTTTTAAAACTTTTATTTTTTCAAAATAATGGCCATTGAATTGGGGATTTAGTTTCAACTAAATATAATAGCCGGAATTGAAGTGATTTGATTGGTATAATTCTTTTTTGACTCTTATTTTTTAAAATTCATTTTTAATACATAAAGGGTGTGTTTCATGTATATTATTGAGGAAATAATATATATTAAATAATGATATGATGGAAAATATGTGGTTAAAAAGTAAGAAAAATTTATTGACGTGATGAAAATACTATTTTATTGAAGAATGTGTGGTTGAAAATGAGTTTTTGAAGGAACGTGTGTCAAACATGAGCTTTTTATAATCCGCAATTTTTTAATTACATATTACATCAATTTTTTATTAAAATTAAAATTTGCTAAAAATTTGATTTTTAGCTAAACCTAGCCAAACCATTGTGACACTAACAAAATTTTTTCCTGAATTTTCTCCCTTCTGCTGCAGGTTGTAATTGTTCATCTGCTAGTTATTTTCGTCAAAATGGGAGGTGTAATTCTTTCATTTACTGTTATATCACTGTGCTTTCTTTATATTTCTCCCTGAGTAATTGTAAAATAAAAGGACCCTGGAAAAGGGAGGAAAATGGAGAACATGGTAAAGGCGCGATGCTTCGCATCTCAAATACATTAGCACCCCATTGTGATGCTTCATTCGAACCTGTATAATGTGTACAGAACAACGTGGTTTGAACAGTGTTTTGCTTGGTTTGTGTTATCCATTTCAACAATACTATTAGCCATTTTCTATTATCTAATCAACCTATGATACAGTTGAGTGTGCAATAATTTGTTTTAACAAACACTGAAGGTCATCAGTATACTGTGACCTTTTTGTTTTGAATTTGGGATTGACATTTGTCTGAAGAAATATAAAGATTAAATCTTAACAAAGAAGAATAATTTGGCCTTTCGTGATCTTGGGCTTCGTTTGACAAATTTAAACTAAGAATTGTAAGAAGAATAGCAATTGGTTCGCTAATAAAATTTTTCCTCATACAGAAAAAAAAAATTACAGATACTAACATGGGATGGGCTCCATGTGAGGAAAATATTGAAAAAAAACCATTTGTGCCTATTTTGGTGGATTTGTGTACGTGTGGTGCAGTGGTCAATAATGTTACACGCCTTTGAGAGAATTGATTTGTGACACGACTTGTGCTAGTTGTACGAAATAAGTCACCCTCATTGATAGGACGGTCCAACTCACTTTATGCTTCCAAATATATTTTTTTCTTTTTTAAAAAAATATACTTTTCAAATCAATTATAATAAATGTACATTCATTCCCTTTATTTTTAAAAAATTTGTGAGTTGGCATTTTTTTTTAAAAAAAACTTTTTGATAATGTATTATGACATGGCACAGTGTAAATAATGATGTAAAAAATAATGTAAAATATAAGATGATTGTTTTCAAATTGGTTGTTGCAGGAAGGCTAGTTTGGAAAGTTTCCTTTTGTTTTTCCTCTAAAGTAAATAAAGAAAAAAAAAAGTAGAAAGAATAAAAAAAAGGTTAACACGCTAACATTGCCACGCAAAGCTAACCAATAGAATTTCACCTTCCCACACGTGGTCCAATGGCCAAGTATTTTCCTAGTTTTTGTTTCAATTAAAAAAATAATAAGAAAACCACGATAATATTATTAAGGTGACAAATCCCAGAAAAAAGGAGAGAGAGAAGATCAAATCCAATTCAAATGAAGATGTGGAAAATGTTGAGAAAAACCGCAACAATCATGGTGAAAAACAATGGATCCAACATGGGTTCCTTTTCTTCCGTTGAAGAAGAAGAAGCGTACGACGTCGTTGATGACCTGTCCTCGTGGGAATTCGTGGACACATCTTTATCAGAAGATGGTGAACAAGAAGACTTCTGCTCCTCGATAGACGACGAAATGACGTCAAAGATCGGGAAGGAGGAGGAGGAGGAACAAGAAGAAGGAAGTGAATCGCCTGGTGTCGTCATTTCCTTGGAGTCTCTGTCAGTCTCACCACCCCAATTGACGTTGACCACCGCTGATGTTTGCTATGATGGTCATAATCAAGAGGAAGATGTTGATGAAGACGAAGACATGGACGATGAAGATGGATTTGGATTGGATGATGAGTTGGTGCCTTGGATGCTGAAGGACAGGTTCGGGAGGCAGAGGATTAGGAAAATGGGGAAGAGAGGTGGTTCTAGGGTTAACAAATCCAAAAGGGGTCCTTATTTCTATAACAGGCCCGGTGCTGTTTATGGCAAACATGGCCTTGGTGTGCAGCACAGCTTCATCCAGTAGATTTGTAAAGGTTGGTGAAAGAATTGACTGAAAATATTGGGTTTCTTTCTTTATTAGTACTGGTTTAGAAGTCTATCTGAAAAATCAATGTAAATATGAATGTTTTAAATTCAGTTTAATGAAATTCGATGTTCAGGATCTTGACNCTCTCTCTGAGATGCCTGTGTGAGATTGTGAATGATTGATGTGCTTTAAGAGGATCCAAAATCTTTTTACACAAGAAAAGAGTAAATTTAATCAATGGTCACTGAAATTTCAGCCCATGTTTGCCCCCCAATTAATTTAAATTCTTGGGGGTAGATAATATTTAGAATAGTGATTGATCTGAGATGTGTGGTTAAAAAGTTTTTTGATTTGTGTGTATTATTATTTTATTTGATGAATGGATGGTTGAGATGAAGAGAGAAAAAAAATTAATGTAATAGAATGGAATATAATGGAGGGCAAACAAGGGCTCAAGTTGTTACTACTTACTCATTTAACTTTGACGCGTTATCGAACGCTCACTCAACTTTCCTCATGGTTACCCATCCACCACCCATTCCATTCCCGTCACTCAAAGTTGACAGAAAATTACACGTGGCTACCGGTTTTCTTACGTGGCAAATAACCCACGTTAAATTGCCAACTTGTCATTAAACCCACGATTTTCACAAAATAATTGACGCTTCTCCAGTTCTCCCCCTCCTCACCAGTCACGACTGAAACCCCTAAAATGAAACCCTTTAATTCCTAATTGAAACCCCCAAATTGAAATCCTTTAATTCCCAAAACCGAAGCCTTCCACTCCCCGTTCTCAAGTAATCGTTGCTGTTGTTGTTGGCAGGTTGTGTGCCCTGAAAAATCGAGAAGCGGCTGGTTGAGTTTGCGAGCGGAGTTACACAAAATAGATTCTTCAAAGCATTAACCTGTGCTGATTGAGTTTGCGAGGGAAAGTGAAGGAGGTGTCGGAGATCTGCTCCACGTAGAGGCCGCAAGGACAGACGAGAAGATTGTTCTGATCGCGAGTGACCATAACCGGTGGCATCTCCATTGCTGTTTCGTGTGATATAGCTAGTCATTTTGGAGCCTTCCCAGCTGCACTCACTTTCTACATGCGTAGCCGCGTATGAAGATGCCTGAAAAATAGCTGAACATGAGAAATTAGAAAAATTAGCTTTTCCAGTTTAATAGTCTGGTTCATTCGTAGTTTGAAATCCTTAATTTCTTAAATTGTGTTGGTTGTTGTATAGTTGGTTGTTTTGCTGGTGGGGCTGAAGCAGAATGAATGTGATGAAAATTTGTTTGATTGAGATTTTCTGTCCATTGGATTGATAAATGAAATTGATACATTGTCTTACATTTCTGTCTATTGGATTGATGAATGAATGAAATTGTCTGTTGGTTTGATTGAGATTTTGGTGCTGGTGATGATGAATGAAATTGATATATTGTCTATTGGTTTGATTGAGATTTTGGTGCTGGTGCATCATGGTTTGATTGAGATTTTGGTGCTGGTGATGATGAATGAAATTGATAATGGTCTATTAGTTTGATTGAGATTTTGGTGCTGGTGCATCATGGTTTCATTGAGATTTTGGTGAAATTTCTGTGCATCAGCACACCAGCACACCAGCACCAGAATGCAGAAGCACACCAGCACCAAAATTTCTGTGCACCAGCACCTCATTGATCAGCACCTCAGAAGCTTATCATGTTATGTTAGAAGTACAAAAAACAACACAAACACCAGAGAACAAGATGAGTCAAACTTTGTTTCACTAGTACCAACCATATGAATGAGCAGACATGATTACATAATCCAAAATACAAACTAAAATCTGCTGCTACAAAATTAGTTCACTGTCAACAACTTCCAAAAACTTCAGTGTCAACAACTTCCCAAAAACTTCACCGTCAACAACTTCCCAAAAACTTCACTGTCAAAAACTTCTAAGTGTGTGCCCACGACACATTTCTACAGATAGTTCACTGTCAAAAACTTGTAAGATTAGTCCCTAAACTACAGCTATTTGGAAGGATCATTGTTGTTAGGTTGTGCATCACTCGTGACCCGAAGTCCTGGTGTGGGTATGAAAATGTATCCATCTGTTGGATCCTGGAGTTGCACTTCATTTGTTGAATTCTTGTTTGCTCTTCGAGTTGCCAGCTTGACCTATGTTAAGAAATAGGTAATCAGTGGTAATCATAGAGTAACAACATCGGAGAAATTTGTGGTAGTCATAGAGAAACAACATCGAAAAAATTACCCTTGTCCTTTGACTTTCAACTTGGCTTGCTCCATCTTGATTTATGTGACCGAGATCATTTCCAGCCCAATCCTGAAATTAGGAAAAATAGTTACAAAACACGATCTCTACTACAAAACTTTAGAACAAACCTCTTCATAGTTAAAGAAATACAAACCTCCATCGGTGCATCTGCCCTATCATGGTAACGCTTGTTGTGGCCAGGTAACCTACATAGACTGCATGTCATCGTCACTGTGCCTTTTTTCTTCATTCGTGAAGTTGTACCGGACTGAGTGATTACATCTTCCTCTTGCTGCCTTCTACGTTTTTTTTGTTTCCTTCTCCTCTTCGCCACCACCCAACCCGATGGTTGTATAGGGATAGCATTCACTTCCGGCCACAATTTCTTTCCATTAATGGGATTGACAATGTTTTCATAACAATTTAAATAGGTTTGCACCGTGTAGCACTCATGCACATACTTTGTAGGATTATCCCCTCTATCTAGTATAACAGCAACCACATGTCCACATGGAATCCCTGTCAAATCCCATCTCCTACATGCACACGTCTTATTTGACAAATCAACTACATATTCCCTAGTACGACATTTCACATAGAACTGTGGGCCCCCAGACCACTCTACTTCACACTCCTCAGCTATTTCCATGGATTTAGCTAATTTTTGTTGAATCTTAGGACACAAAGGTCCTCTGACTCTTCTCATCTTATCCCTCCTTGATTGTATCTTCTTCATGCAGCTAATATGCATGTCAATTAACATAGTCAAGATAGATTTTTCCCTATCCTCTAACACTACATTGTTAAAAACTTCACATAAATTGTTAAGTGCTATATCACTCTTTACCTTAGTGGAAAAATGCGACTTACTCCATTCACGTGGATCCTTTTTACTTAACCACTCAAATGCACCTGCACTCTCCTTTGCAAGTTCATCCATCCAAAACTTCCAATCAGGCACAGTAGTTGACTTTGCAGCTTTCCATAAGTAACCTTTAAGTGTCAAGCTCTTAAATTCAGCCCTAAAAAAATTTGTATACATGTGCCTCACACAAAACCTATGTTCAGCATCAGGGTACAAATCCTCGATAACCTTTTGTAATCCTTTCTGCCTATCAGTCATAAAAGTCCATTCGTTACTATTCACAATCCTCAAATCTTCACCCAAATGACTAACGAACCATCTCCAACTTCTAGCATTCTCCGTCTCCACTATTGCGTACGTTACGGGGTAAATACAATCATTGGCATCTAGTGCCACAGAAACAAGCATCTGTCCGCCAAAATTCCCTTTCAAAAAACATCCATCTAAGCCTAACAGTTGCCTACAACCACTCATAAAACCTCTCTTGCAAGCTTCTAAACATATATAAACTCCTTGAAACTTCGACTCATGCGTGGAAACTATACACGTGGATCCTGGATTGCTTCTCAATGTCTCATGAGCAAAAGACCAAAGCAGGCCAAACTGGTGTTCATTAGAGCCCTCAATCAATATCCTCGCGTGCCTTCTAGCTCGCCATGCAGTCACTCTATTGATTATTAATTTCAAGTCATCTCTCACAGCCTTAATAATGAGTTCTGACTTCCAATCAGGGGCAATCTTGAAAGTCTCTATGTACTTTTCAGCAATATACTTAGCTGTACAATGCCTATTTATTCTGTCTCGTATGCATGTGTGCTGTGAATTGAAGGTCTTAATTTGCACGTAACCTTTATTCTTATTCCATGAAGCCCAAATCTTCCACTTGCAATCCTTATTTTTGCACACTCCCTGTGCTCTCTTTTCATCATTGGCCGTAAACTTCAAATTACGCCTAGTGACAACTCCATAATGTCTAACTGCTTTCTTAAACTCTTCTATGTCTTTGAACTCTTTCCCAACCTCTAATTGTGGATTAAACTTCTCCATCTCAGCATCATAGGTAGGGAAACGAAAATTATTTTCCTCATCTGAAGAATGATCAGTATGCAACTCCTCCTCAGAATATGCATAATATGGATCATCCAATTCTGAGTCATTATCTTCCCTAGCTGTTTGACATTGAAGGTCCGCATTCAAACCAACCAAAACTCTTTCATGTGCGTTTCTCTAGTACTGAAAACCACCATCGTCCACATCATCCTCCGAGTCATTTAACTGGCACTCTAGTGGCACCAAATCTTCACTCTCATTGTTCGTCACTACAATGCAAAAATAATAGGCTTAATGTTTGGATATAAAAGAAAGGTAATTAAAACAAATATGCAACTGGGACATTTGTGAAGTTTGAATTTAACTGCTTCGTTTTTTAAGATTTCCCAAACAGATAAAGAAAGTGTTTTAACATATACTAAGCAATGACTGCACCTCTCCTTCATAACAACCATGTTGTATACACTGCAAATGGAAGACATTATTGCACTTTTTGAAAACCCTAATTCTCAGCCGTGATTTCCTCCTCCATTTTATAGTCAGTTAGATAAACATCCATTTCTTAGACTTTATGTCTATAAGGAAACAAAATATTACCTTCCAGAACTCTTTTTTGCTCATCTTCTAACAATGCATCTTCCATGTGAGGGTCTTGTGGGTCACCTATGCCCTCCATTATCCACACAAGAGAAGAATTCCCAAGCTTAGGATGCTGATTTCAGGGAGAATTTCAAGAAATGTAGAGGATTGGTGTTGATTTTCTCTTCCAGTCAGCAGAGAAATGTGAAAATGGGGAAGACAGATAAATGTCGTGATTTTAGATGTTTAATGTCGTGGGTTTAATGACAAGTTGGCAATTTAACGTGGGTTATTTGCCACGTAAGAAAACCGGTAGCCACGTGTAATTTTCTGTCAACTTTGAGTGACGGGAATGGAGTGGGTGGTGGATGGGTAACCATGAGGAAAGTTGAGTGAGCGTTCGGTAACGCGTCAAAATTCAATGAGTAAGTAGTAACAACTTGAAAGTTCAGTGACCATTGATTAAATTTACTCCACAAGAAAAGTGAATGGGCAAATATAACGCGACGTCGTTCTATGACCCCGTTCAGAAACGAAATTACACACGGGTAATGGTAATGTTACGTGTACATAATACGGTGTCCACTCCCTGACATGGAGAGGGACCCACTTCGAATAAAATATAATATATTCGAAGTGGGTCCCTCTTCATGTGAGGATGTGGACACCGTTATGAATATTGCATTATGCCCTTGTTTGAATCTATTTTTGAAGAGAATGAAAATTTTGGAATAGTGATTGATGTGAGAACATGTGGTGGAAAAATGATGAAATTTTTTTGATTTGTGTATAATATTATTTTATTTGAAAAATGTGTGGTTGAAATAAATAATAAAAATGAGAATGAGAAATTAATTAGTATCAAACATGGGCTATGTACAAGTAGCATATTCATTTACACATATATCATGAAATCGGCTGAACACCTTTTATTTACGAAAAAGGCTGCAAGTATGGGAAAAAAATACAGATTTTCTACAGGATTTTGAATTCCACTCACGTGGAGTGTTGGGCCCATTGAATTAAATATTGCTAAAAAAATCGGGACCCACCTATTGTGTGTATTCTGTCCATTTTCTGTACTAATAGCATTACCCTTTATTTATTGCCATTTATTCATCAAACTTTCTCAGTTCCGATTCATTCTTCAAAATCTTTTTTTTTCTCAAATTCATTTTAATCGCATATTTGTTCAATAAAATTATTTTACACATAAATTCAAATTTTTCTTTACTTTTTATCCATACATTCTCCAAAACATCACTACTATAAAATTTATTCTTAGGAAAAAAAAAAGGCTCAAACAAGCCCTTTG